AATTACATATGCATTAAACATTTTCTTTAATAATATTAATTTAACATTGTACCTATTTTCCCGTTCTCACGTTATTCCTCAGTTTTTTGCAGTTTTTTCAATACATTGAGAAAACTCCTGAGAAAATCAAAAAATTACTTCACAGGAAAAAAAAAGCCGTAATATTTTAAATAATGAATAAAGCGATGAATGTTTTACTTAGATGTTTATTTTTTTTTAAGTCTCTAAGTGTATTTATAACCGAATTACAGCAAAAAACTTCCAAAAATTAAAATTCCTTAAAGCTCAAAAGATTTGGCAATGATACCGTAAGAAAGTATATCAAAAAGGCATCGAAAAATGTGTCTAGTGATTTTTCGATTAAACCATTTTTTTTCTGGTAGAACATGTCGTCAGTGTTTTTATAAAATAATGAAATCGTGAAATTGTACGTTTTCCTACGTTTTTCCCCACTTTAGTGCTTTTTTTAAAAAAATGACATCGAAAATCAAAATGACCTTCTTAGATTACCATTTAGACAGCTTGAGCTTTCAGAAAAGATGCTACACGTAAAAATCGAAGCAAGTTTCCTAGGTAAAAAACTTGTTCATAGAACAAAGAAAGAAAAAAAAGAAGTAATAAACAGTAATGTAAAACCAATAGCTCCCTCGCTACGCTCGGAATTTAATGCGTAAATGATGTCTTTTAAAATAAATATGCTTACTGGAAATTTCGACTCTCCAAATTGAGATTTTAATTGCAGGAATCACAACAACGGTTATACCAAGTTCTCCAAATGATATCAATATTATTGTATTATTATGTATTGGTTTACAGAAAATAACAGTACCTGATTTATAATAAGTGTAACGAATAATATATTATTTTCTTCAAAATATCAGAATAATTAAGTGGTTTAGCTTCAACAACATGTATACCTACTAAATTACCATAAATGACCAATAGACTGGTCTTAGTTGGCTTATAACGTTAAACGTGGCGTAATGTGACGTAATATCATCATGACCTTAATTGGCGCTTTTACAAAAAAACATGATACTATTTACTACGATTTCAGAAGAATATTATTTTTATAATAATTATTTTACATCAACATGTTATTAAAATTGAATAATAAAAGTAAATAAAATAAGACGGACATAATCCACACTATAGGTGTACCAATTCTGAGAAATTTAATTTATATCTGTTGGTACGCAACAATAAATTATTGCTAACGAAAAACTATTCTAAACATCTAAACGAATTTCGATTAAGTATATTTTAATTGTGTTAATTTGTAATTATATTCAATCAATTACAATTGCCCATGTTTTATACTAGTATCTTAAATTTGTGTGCATTTTTCAATCAAAAAAAATTGTATTTATTTAACTCGGAAAAATAGTACCTACCTATGTGAAAATTAAAATTAAAAACACAAAACTTGTATCATTTATTATTACAAGTTTCGTAAAAAAATCAAAAATAACATCAATCTTTAAAGTTAATTGCAGTTTTCTACCCACATTTACCATAGTACAAAAAATTACGAATAGTTCGAAAATAAAAAGCTGCAAAAAAATTTCCGCCCGGACAGGGATTTGAACCCTGGACCCTTAGGTTAAAAGCCTAATGCTCTACCGACTGAGCTATCCGGGCTTATGTTTAAATAGAGTACAATAAAATTATATAACTTACACAATGTGACAGAAGTACATACTATTTGATAATAACAAGACATTTCGGTTTTACAATGATTTTATTCTAAATATTGAAAATATATTTTCAATGCAATATTGAGTCGATCTTTTTTTGAATACAAATTCTATGGAATATTTTATATTTAATTTGTCATACAGTAACTTCAGTGCATTTATATTTTCTCTCCATCCTTTGGAAGTTTAAGAAATATTTGTGAAGTAATAATAAATATTATGAATATTAAATTAGAATTTGAGCACTTGTACACAATAATTAAAATAAATTTAACATTACCTATATACATTCAGTTGTTCCGTTGAATAAAGTTTTTCCAAATTAAAAATCATTAAATCAAGACTGCGTTCTACTTTGGATCATATCAGACTAGAATATTTAATGAATATTTCTTAAATACAATATAGGTATATATTGCATATATTTCTTCTATAAACATAAACGTATCAAAGGTAAATGTGCCAAGAAAATTATACATCTCATTATTTCATTACTCAATTATTAAGTATAATAACATGGTAGATAAATCAATCCATATTATTTTGTTTGTGTTTAGATGCAGATATATTTACAAGAAAATCACCAGTATTAAATAAGTTATTAACATTTTGATATTAATATTGTATGCCAATACAACTCATGTGAGTCATGATTTTAAGCAACAATTTTTCTTTTTTATAATGAAATTTGTTATTTAATTTTTATTTAAATAAATTGAGATTATGGATATAGAATATATAAGTACCTATGTATTACCATAGGTGTTTTGGTGTTTATTACCAAACTATAAGTTAAAATAATCCCGTTCGGTATATTATTTCGACACCCACTTAAAAAATCAAAAAAAATGACTTCCCTAAAGTACCGCCCCAGGAAAATTCCCTTTCAGAAAAGATACTAGTAAAAGTATACTTGATACTTCTGAGCAAGATTTCTGGTAGAATTTTTGTACACAGAAAAAAAAAATAAAAAATAAACATTGTTTTAAAATCAATAAATTTTTCGCTCCACTCAGAATCTTAAAAGAGCTGACACTAAGAACGGGTGCTGCTACTATTGTAAGTGAGTAGTAGGATAGGCGGGATATATAATGTTATTTAATTCATCCCTGTAACCAAGGATAAATCATTTATAACGAAAAACTATTCGGACTATTTGATTTTTCATAATTTATTTTTGTATTAATAAGATAATACAGCAAATAGTAGTTGCTTTAGGTATTAATATGTTATGTGTTTTTGCAATAAGTAAATAATTTTGTATACCTACCTATGATTAATAATTGTCATTTGAAAATTTAAACTACTAAACTATGTTTATTATGTTAAGTTAAAAAAAAATTTTCGGAAATAATATCTGTATTATTGCATTGCGATGGATCAGTGGATCGTTTACAAATCGATAAATTTTGTATAATACTTCAAACAGTGTCATTAAAAGAAGTCGAAGAGCAGTAATTTTTGGATGCAGGGTAAGTTGAACAAAGAGGTGCTGAGGGAATTTCGGATGCTATTAAAATAGCTTATATAGAAGTAATTTTACTGAATATATTTTTAAAAATAGAATTTCGAACTAGAGAACTACAACAAAAGTGTAAAGAAAATAATTTATAACTCATAAGGATATCAATATTGTCTCAAACCTAACCTATCCTATCCCTTTTTTAGTCTAGTTAACACAATATTAATTTCATGGAAAGCTCTGGTTATATATATGCAAAGTTAGACTCTTTCTTACGGTTTTTTTTTTTTTTTTAATATTATCAACTTATAAGGATACTATTAATTTATTAGCATTTTTGGCAGATGTGTTGGTCATTTTTAATCGTTATCAACGAATTATTCAAAGTGATAAAATAATTATGTTGGATCTTTTTAAACATACCGAGTCAGTTGTAAAAAAAATTAAATTAAATTCAATTAATTTAGTTAATGGTTGGGTAGATGTAATTGAAGATAAACTGTTGGAACTGATGAAGATACTAATGAAAAAGCTCTAAAAATAAAATTAATTGATTTTCAAGAAAAATAAAAACATAGGCATAATTTGCATGTTACTGAAAATAGATCTGTAAGTATCATATACCATGAAATAGTAGAAACTTTGTTAAATTTGTTGCAAGACCGCATAGATATTGATGAATATTTTGTTAGTACTATTAAACCTGTAGCTAACGTCCATCCTTGAATGTAATGCTAACATTAAAAATGCAATTAATGTTTCGGGTAATGATTTAGATTTGACTGGTATTAATTATGGAGTATAGAGATTTAATAGAACATAATAGATTAGAAGAAATACAACAAACGGTATTGCCTAAACTAGTGCAATATTTATCTGGGTCCAATGAGTTTAAAAATATTACTATTTTACTTGTTCGTGTTTAGTTGCAAAACTTCACAGCGCTTACGTTGAAGGGTTAATAAGTAAAAGCAATATTCTTAAATCAATAAATCGTTAAAATGGGCATAATGTAGAAACGGAAAACGAATATATTTTTATTAATTTTAACATGCCTGCACTTCGAAATTGGGACCTAAGACCAGCAATACACATATAGTTAAACCAAAATGAGCGTCACATTAAAGATACACCTAAAGCTAATGGTTTTATGGGATATTTAAAGAAGCGACAAAAAATTTAAAAAAGAACGTTCTAAGGTTCTAACATTGTGTTATGTGTATAAATATAATGAAAAAAATTAAGAGGACATTAATTAACATAAAATATTTTAAGCACGAATGTTTATTATTTTATTTATTACATTTTAAATTATTTAACCTTAAAGCTAAAAATATTATAATTTTTGATTCTGAGTGAAGGGAATGGTTTTACAAAGATGATTATTTATATATTTTTTTTTCATCTATGCGAAACTTTTCTACCAGCAATTTTGTTCCTTACAACGATAACAAATTTTCTAAGAGGAAATTTCACTAGGGAGGTACTTTAGAAGGTCATTTTTCGATTCTCTCAAGAATTTTTTCATCAAATTTGAAAATATATAAAGCCTATTTAATTATTTTACTATTAAATTACATATACTAGGGACAGGTGCTACCACTGTTGTAGGTGGATAGTGGGAGAGGGGGGTTGTCGGGATACATAGTTATTTAATTCATTCCTGTAAGCAACGATAAGCCATTGATAACGAAAAATGATTCGGAGCAAAGTTCGTTTATTCATGTTTTGATATTTATTATATTTATAATTTTAAATAATATTTAATATTAATATTTACAATTTTCGTCAAAATTTGATTTACAAAAAAAAACTACATTCAAATAATATTTTCTTTTTGTCCATAAGTTCAACTCGTGTTAAACCTCTTATCAAATTTTTAAAAATTTCTGTTAAGACTAATAATTTATCTACTGAGTACCTACCAAATAAAAATTAGGAAAAAAACTAACAGAATTTAAATGTTTATAAATAGCTTAAAAATTACTCTAATGTTCTGAAAGTTTTACTAAGTCTTGAAAAATTAAAATAAGTTTTCTATCGACATTTTAAGTCGCTACAAATATTTTAACCTAAATTACATTAAAAAAACATTTTTTAAATTTTAAAAATAATTCCCGTACATTTTCCCGTTCTCGTATGTATTTTTCGGTTTTGCACAATTATTAAAAAACTACAAAGAAAATTAAAAAACAACTTGTTTAGTCACCAATTAGATCAAAAAGTCAACAAAATAGATCACTTGATGTTTTTCTATTAGAGCAATATTTCTAGTAGAAAATGGAAATTGTCACGCCGTAAAATATTATTACATAGCTACTTTCAAAATCCAAATTTTCCAATACCTTTATTTATTTGAATCACGAAGATCAAACAACAAAGTTCGTAAAGTTCACCATCCAGTAGGACAACACTGGTTTCGTGAGTTCGTGCCATGTATCATCTAATGATAACAGACTAACAAAGATGCACGCCAAATGGTGTTTATGCGATTTATTCTTTAAACAGTTTTATAATGTGTTATTGGGCCCAAAATCGCCTAATAAAGCAATTTAATCACATTTTTTTTACAAAAATAAAAAACAATTTTATATAAAAATAAAATTAATATATATATAAATATATATATATATATATATATATATAAATAAATTACATACATATATTATAATATCATTAATGTTAATATACCTATTTAAAATAAATATAAAAAAATAAATAAATATGTAAGCGGAAATTTAGTTGCATAAATATAATTGGTTCTTTTTTAAATAATTAATTAATGATTTATGTTTGAGAGGGGGTGTATTAAATTGAATTCATTAATTGTAAGGTAGGTACATCAATTTTTTAATTCTCATTTCTAGCACTGTTTGTCATTTCCAACAATGAACTTGCAAAAAGTATATTAACAGATGAAGCCCCTCACACTTGAATTGATAGAGGATCACTAAAAAAATAATATACATTTTTAATCAAAAAATGATTCAATTTTCACTGGAAACATGGCTGAATTTTTAGTTGTTGAAAAAAGTTGATAAAAACTAATATAGTGTACTATTAAAAATTAAAAATGTGCAAAAAAATACAATAGATATTTACTTATATATATAATAAATAACTGTAATTATAAAATGATAACATTCTCATAAAAAAACATTAATAACAAAGCGTGTTACATAACAACCCTATTTATTGTATATTACAGTTAGAATATTTATAAATATTAAACATAGTTTCAAAAGGCACATTATATACAGGTGTCTCTTCATGTTCTACAGATTTTTATATCTGTTAATATTTTATTTTATGTCTGGGGCATACATGTATAATAGATATTTTTTTTTTTCACTTTAAAAAATAGCTATTATGTGAAATATATAATTTTAAACATTTTAATGTATCATACATTCATATCTGATCAATAGTTTTTTTAGTAATAATAATTTTAATTTCAAACTCATTAATTATTTGTAATGGGTGACAACTGCATTACACCAATACATAATAAAACACACTTATTTTAAAAATAATTATCAGTTGACAGTTTCATTAATAATATTAGGATTGTGATTCTCTTTTTGTATTGCCTCTTCCCTAGAAATTGAAAAGCTATTACCAAAAAACTATTAATTGGATATGTATATATGTTAGATTAAAAATTGTAGGATATTTATTAAGTATTTGTAATTATTAATTATAAAAAGTGAACAAAAAATTATTTTTTTCAAGTGATTAAGAAGTGATAAAATAAATTAAATTTTTTTAAATATATGTCTCCCTAAAAGAAAATTGTACAGAAAAATATAACATTAACAAATATAAAAATTCATAAAACATGGTGAGACACGCTATACGTATAAATAAATAAAGTATAATTGTATTAACCATACATTAAATTGCTGTTATCACCACAGATTTATAAAAATAAACAATATAGGACAGGACCAGTGGCGGATCCCAATCACTGAGCAAAGGATATGTAATAGAGATAGGATGTTGATGACTTAGCAGTTTTTCTTTTCATCCTAAACAAAACTACTTTAACTAAAAATTTGGTTCATGCTTCATAAATTTAGAATGTATACATTTTTTTTTATATATAGTTTTTAGGCCATTAAAAACAAATTTTTTCACCATGTTTGTTAATTTTCAGTTATCGACATCATATCTCTACTAATAATATTGTAGCATATTAACTGCATTTCCATATAATATATTATAATAAGTCTATAACAGAAATTGGTGTTATAATTTTTATCTTTCCCTGTTTCCGTAAAAAAATATATTTAAAAAACCCATCGATTTTTCTTGGGCTGGATCCGCCTCTGGACAGAACCCATTATATTATTAAAATGTTTTGCCACTATTTGATTGGTGGGAAAATATTACAAAAATAAATAAATTGTTTTAAGTACAATAGCCAATACTCTTGTTTTTATAAGTAAAATTACATTGGTAATTTGGATGTATTCACAATAATTATACACCAGTATATTATATAGAACTAAAAATACCCTAAAACAGGTTTAAGAATAGAGTTAGGTATTCAAATTTTTCAGATATCTTATTAATTAATTTTTTTACCCCAGACCAAATATATATAAAATAAAACATAGCAAACTAAGTGTGAAAAATAAATTAGATAATTAAAAGAACAAAAATACAAACCTGAGTACAGCCAAAGAGCTAAGTCAAGCTATAACTAAGAAACAATATAATTAGAACTACAAAGTATCCTTATAGGTGATTGTTGTAATAGGCTGCAGAATGTAATTCATCATTAAACTGAACTTACTGACCTAATTGATTTGATACTAGTAATTTAGAAAATAATTCTAGAGAATCTAAAGCGCTTTTTAGGGCAGATCAAAATTTGTATATAAAGAATGGGACAGAATGAGAAGAAATTTTAAACAAGTTACACAATTTTATTGCTAGGCACATTAACTTTGAATTGCCACAGAGAATAAACCTGTTTTGACCATATCTTATGCTATATCACATTTGTAGATACCAGAGTCACTAGAATATATTTAATTTATCACCTACTTATAATTTAGTTGGTGAATATTTTGTAGCATTCATTGAGTTCTTTATGTAGCAAAGTATAAAAATCTGTGGTTATTACATAATTAGATTTTAAGAAATTATTATCTTAGTTTTAAAAATAAATTAGTATATCTTTATGGTTTAAACTTTAATTTTAGTTGTGAAACTAATAGTAGGCTGTTGTTGATAAGTACTACAATAGTTTTGAGGTACAGTAGTCTCATAGGTAATACTGGTTGTAGAAACAGTAGGCATTGTGGCAGTTATGGCTTCTGAGCTTGATTGTTGATTATAAATTTCTGATATACCACCCCAACGCACCCGATATTGTTGTGTGGTCCACTTAACAACAGATGGGCGCCATAAAAGTGCTGTTAAAAACAGATATGGTCCCATAAATTCTCTATAGATCCATGCAATTAAATATTCAAACTTTGTAAATGGCAAAGGTCCATCCTGGAATAAAATTCAAATAAAAATGTATAGCAATACTTTATAATGACCAAGCATAATTTTTAATACTATATACCTGCATAATATTTAAAAGAATCCAGTCTAATAAGAACCATACAAGGATATGCACCATATAGAAAGCATATGGATCTATAGAACCTCCAGACAATGTGTGTGCAGACCATGCTGCACACGCACCCAGTATCAAACATTCAGATAAAGGTTCTAAAATAATTGTGTGTGGGACCATAGCTATCCTGAGTTTAACCCATCTACAAAATACAATAAAACCGTATTTAATCAACAAATAAAAATTACCAATGAATAATATACAAATACAACTATTAAAATATGTAATATAAATAAACATTGTTTATGAATAACCTTCTAAGCCGATCATGGAATTTTCTAAGGTCACTACCACCATTATTTTGTAAGCCTGGATAACCACTTATTGTAGTTCGCCAACCTCGGGACACTATAAATTTAGCCATAAAGTAATCTTCAGCTAGATAACCAGCAAATGCTTGCAAACCACCACATTCGTCCATTACATTCTTACGTAATAATGTTGACATTCCTGTATGACAAATAGCGCCCACTAGATCTGCGACTAAATATACACGGGCATGAGCTGTTCCAAAAAACACCTAAACATTAAAAACATTTATTTTTGTCAATAAAAATTGCCAAAAAATTACAATTCAATTTAAAATACTCAAGTATTACAAGTATACTGTATTACTGATTAATATTATGCCATTTAATTTTATTTGCTTAGTAAATATAGTAGATAATACTAGTAGATATATACTTGACTATTCAGGAACTTATACAGGGTGATCCATCTACCATAAGTCACTCATTATTTTGGGAAGTATTAACTTTTTCGACATTTGTTTTAAAGACAATTTTAGAAACAAGCAGCTCTAAAATTTTACATTTATGTTATTTTTTGTTGCCCTAATTTTTGGGAGTAGACCTACTTTTGATTTTTAAATGGCAACCTATATAAAAACAAATCCATAAATAGAAGGTGTATTATTATTAAATACATTCTTGTGTTGACATTTTTGATTTCTGTAAAGTCGTTTACGATATATTCCACTTTAAATTTTAGATTGGAGAGAATAGTGATGCATTATTAACACACAGCAACTTTTTTTAATAAATTTGCTATTATTTGTTAACTTTTAGTATTGGTTTGGAGCTGGTCATATAAGGTGGTGGAAGTTCATGACCTTGACTTAGTTATAGTTCATATTATGTTTTATTTATTTGTGTTCTATCAAAAAATGGGGTATATATAGGAGCCTGTCTGATACCAATAAAACACTAGTGTCTAGAGACAGCACAGGGAACAAATTATAAGGGGCTAATATAGGCAATTTCTTATTATAAAAGAGTACAACATATTATTCTAATTAGATAATGTATAAACAAATTAAAAACATATATAAAAAAAAGATGTAGGTACAATAAAATTACTTAAGAATAAATAAGCATTTGTACGTTAGTTCTTTTCTCAGTTAGTTACTTTGATTACTTATAATTTGTATATAAATTATTAAAAATATATACATATATTGAAAAATATTCAATGTGACTTATTGTATCAAAATATAATGTATTATAGTCCTATAAATGTTACCTATAGCCCAGGGAACCATACAATATATAACATGAAACTCAAAAGACCACCCAGTATAATAATATATACTAAAGGTACTTTCCCTGTATTACCCGAGCTGAAAAAAATAATCAAAAAATTGTCATTGTACCATTATATAACTCTTGCACAGACTACACTTTGTTACTCTGTTGTAATATATATCTATTGAGATTTTTGGAAAACCTGTATATTATAATATATATATACACAGGGAGATCAATCTATCATAAGACACTTATTATCTCAAAAAGTATTAACTTTTTTCTATATTTGTTTTATAGATAATTTTAGAAACAAGCAGCTATGCAATTTTACATTTATGTTATTTTTTATTACAAATTTTTAATTTTGATTTTCAAACGGCAATATATACTGAAAATTCCATAAGTAGATGGAGTAGTAGTTAAAATACATTTTGGTGTTTCAATTTTTAATCTCAATTTAGTACATTATTAAAAAGTTGCATGCTGGCTGCCAAACAAATGATGCTCCACTTCTCTTCTCCCCACCCCAAACTTAAAAGTGGAATATCTCATCAAAGAATTGACAGAAATAACAAATTTAAACACCAGCATTTATTTTAACTACTACTCCATCTATTCATGAAATTTTTAATATAGGTTGCCATTTAAAAATCAAAAGTGGGTAGTTTTTCATCTCCAAAAATTAGGGTAACAAAAAAATAATATAAATGTTAAATTTTAGAAAAGCGTGTTTCTTAAATGTTCTTTAAATCAAATTTCAAAAAAATTTAACACATTTCATAAACCATGGTGATAACAAATGTGCATATGCTAGGATCATTCATTATTTTAAATAGATAAATAATCTTACATTTAATTTATGAACATACTAATGAATTAAGTAATCATGTAATCACAGTTTTAACAACAGTTGTCTGGTTTCGATTTTATATAATCATAAAATAAATTGTTTGTTTTAGATTCTGAGAATGTATTGGTTTTACAATTATATTTATTTTTATCTGTGAACAATTTGTCTACCAGCAATTTTGCTCCGATTTACAATTATAGTATTTTATCTAAAAGGAAATCTTACTTTACACAGGTAAATGGGAAAAACAGGAAAATAAGTACAATATTAAACAAATATTATTAAAAAAAGTGTTTAATGCATAATATATAATTATATTACCATAATATAACATATATTGTTGACAAAGCAACACTATCACCTGAACTTCGCTCAGAATAGTATTTCATTAAAAATAATTAATCCTGCCAACAAATATAAATTAAATTCTCATCTATATCTTACCTTCCCACCAATAATAGATGCTGCACCCATCACCACTATCTTAAGACAACTTTATTTTCCTGCTTATTTTAACCTATCGTGGTTTTTCATCAACTAATTATAAGGTTTACATATGCACAACTGTTGTCACCTTGCTTGGGTTTTCATTCGGTATTCAAAAGGTTCAGGGACCAGGATATATAAAAATGTATGTTTATTTTAGATTAAATTTAATTTAATGCAGAGGTTCCCAAACTGTGGTGTGTTGTCAGGGGAGCTGCGGTTGTGACTCGCTGCTGACTATGTTATCTGGTCTAAAAATAAACAACGATATTTTATGATGTGTCTGGTGAAATTTGTTTCTGCGTTAGTACCTATTTATTACCTATACACTCCCTATCAGTCTCGGTGTGTTATAATATTTTGTTCAAGTTTCTTAAGAATATATATTTAGTAAGTTCTGTGATTTTCTTTAAGTTGTAACTTTGTTCAGTGTTTAATTATTATGGATCGATTTTTATTAAACAATCGTAAACGTACGAGTACATGTGAAGACGAAGAAATTTTACCATTAACTAGTCGCGGTGAAACAGTAAAAAAGCGAAAATGTCATAAGTATGATGATAGGTATTTGGATTTTGGTTTTTGTAAACAGAAATTAACGGTGAAGAGAGACCACTATGTGTAGTATGTATGAAAGTTTTGGCACCAGAATGCATGTTGCCGAGTAAATTGAAGCGCCATTTAGAAGCAAACCACAAGTATATGATTGACAAAACTCGAGATTATATTATTAGAAAGTTAAAAGAACTAAAACAGGAAAAAAGTACGTTTTTCAAGAATACATCAATATCAACCAATGCTTTGATTGCATCTTATAAAGTGTCCTACAGAATTGCGAAATGTAAAAAGCCCCATACCATTGCAGAACAGCTTATCTTACCGGCTGCTATAGATATGGTAAATATTATGGTTGGTGAATCTGCTGGGAAATTACTCTCAAAAGTGCCTTTGTCCAATAATACGGTTATCCGCAGAATTCACCATATGGCGGAGGACCTCAATGATCAATTGATAGAAAAAATCAAAGAAAGGGAATATAGGTTGCAGCTGGAGGAGGCTACGGATACTAATAAGGATGCTTATTTGATATGCTACATTAGGTTTATAGATGGTGATGACATGGTAGAAGACCTACTATTTTATAAAAATATTACAGCAAGCACTAAGGCTCAGGACTTATTTGATATTCTTAATAATTTTATGTCAGAAAATATGTTGGATTGGACTAAATGCGTCGGTGTTTGTACTGACNAAGCCCCTGATACACTGTGGACCCATTGCATTATCCATAGAGAAGCACTTGCGGCAAAATATCTGAGTCCCGCGCTGAACCAAGTATTAGAATGTGTCAATTTTATAAAAACTCGTCCACTGAAAGTAAGATTTTTCAAAAAATTATGTGACGATATGAGAGCTGAACACTCAAGTTTGTTGTACTACAGCAGTGCACGATGGCTTTCTCGTGGTAATGTTTTATTACGTACGTTTGAACTGCGGCAGGAAATATATGTATTTCTTAAGAAGAACACAAAAACGCCAATGAATTTTCCGACATCAATTTTTTTAATGAAATTAGCATATTTGTGTGACATTTTTGAAAACTGAATGCATTGAACACCTATCACAGCTAGTGATATGGTTTGAGAAATATTTTAAAAATGAAGACACTGATAAATTTGCATGGATTCAAGAACCATTTAACTCCATTGTTCCATCAGAATTTATTTCTACTGAAGAAGAAAGTCTAATTGAGTAGTCTTGCGACAGTAGTTTGAAATCAAAATTTACCAATATGGAATTGACCAAATTTTGGATTTCAATAAAAAATGAATATCCCCTTGTATGTGAAAAAGCTCTACGTGTTTTGATTTCGTTTTCTACTTCATATTTATGTGAAGCTGGGTTTTCGGCGGTCGCTGTGGTAAAAAGCAAATATCGGTCAAAAATCAATGTGGAGAAGGAAATGAGAGTAGCAGTAACAAGTTTTATCCCAAGATTTGAAAAACTATGCAATGATGTCCAGGCTCATCTATCTCACTAATTAGTTTTCTACAAATAAACTATGTCTAATTTACTTTACCTAATAAAATTAAAATTAAATATTTCAGTGTATAATTATATAAAATAAATATTTCCATATTATATATTGAAAATTATACATGTTTGTTATTTTATCTATTTTATTTAAAACAAGGTCGTAAATTTTATTGAGGGCGCCATGAGCAAACTTCAGTTCTAAAAGGGCGCCACGAGTAGGAAAAGTTTGGGAACCTCTGGTTTAATGTCTTTAACATATGATGAAGTACGTACTATATCTACTAATACATATACTATAATAATACTAATACATACTTTTTCTAATGTCGCCACAAAACGTCGTTGTTGAAGTCTAGTTTGACTATGAAATTGTGACTTCCCGTCTAATTGTAGAAATAATGATGGGTCTGTCACATTTTCTGATGGAGGTGATATTGCAGGCTCAGTACTATTGTCAATACGATCACACGTGAATGGAATTTGGTGTACAATTGCAACTTTGTCAGACATTTTGTCTACCATATCACTTAAAGTATCTTTTTTCACTGCAAATGATAAAAAAATTAAAATGAATGTATATTAAAGTTTACATTTTTCATAGTTTGAAAAAAATGAAATTTGTACTAATAATAGTTTAAGTAGACATAAACAATACAATATCAAAATTAAAACAATTTTATTAATTATTTCACAATATAATATTACTTTTTATTGAACTATCTGATATGAGAATCAACGAATATTTAGCTGCTTGGTATGCAGCATGGACGTTATTGATTTTTGGATTTACACCCACTTTAGATCCACCTATGTAAAATGACTTGCATAAGCAAACTTTTAAAAAAACATACTTCTATTTCTATTGTTAATTACAATTTTATTGATACATTTTTTAGTAAAAATTGATTGTAAATTAAAACATTTTAATTTGATTAAAAATAAACATTTAAATACCTAAAAATAGTTTAGCATCTACTGACGGATACATTTCTAGTAATCGATTAGCAACCATTGCAGCTGGGTCATGAGGATCGACCACACATATCAGAACTTCATACTACAAAAAAAAAATAATAATAATCCACTATAAAAGCGTATACCTAAAAAAAATAGAAGAATATGAAATGTAGATTAAAAAATTACTATTGGGTATTCCATTTCAAAATATGAACTTAAGTTGACAAATAGATTAGGATCAACACCCACTAAAGGTTTTAATATACTGACGCCGGGATACTGTTTAATGTTTTTTCGAGCCGAACCATTTTCTAAAGATATTAATGTTGGTACAGACTGTACAGGTGGTTCTTTTTCGAGTTTTCTGTAGAGATGGAACTTCCTGTCGATGAAAATACAGAGAATAATAATTAAGTTAAAACTATGTGAGAATCCAACCATAGTTAATAAATACACGAAATATTATAGCTATATTGTAGGTATTGTTAATAATATTACCCATAACATATCGCGCTTATGTGTACTAGCCAGTAGCCACACCAAAAAAACAGCAGCCCGCAAGCTAATAGTATGTCATAATCGACAAACATTGGAGTTGGTATAAGTTGCATCATAATTACTAGAGCTTTTCTTCGATATTATATCCATCTACAAATTATAGGCTCCTTCCGGTACCTGAACACTTACAAGAACATTAACTCATCACAATCGAATGAACGATTGGATATTAGTTTTGGTCGCGCCGTTGCAGCAGTTCTGTTGGAGTCATGCAGGAAGGTAAATAAATAACGGTGTATAAACGGTATTGCTCTTCGGCAGGTCGCCGGCGAGGTAAGCAACAGTCAACAGATAACAAAACGGTCGGCTTACACGGAGAAGACGGCGAACGTCGAGAACGTTTTTCGAATAGGTAAAACTAAATCGTTACGTAACATCACAATATTGCCGATATTAAAGTCGAACGGTCAGGCACGAGGAACAAACAACGAACGTGATTTGACATAATATATGCATATAGGAGAAAAAAAAACAATACACACACACACACACACACAAACGCGCGGGCGCACACACGCATATATACATAAATTAATGTCGATTAATAACCGAACTGTATGTACAATAGTTGAATATTGAGTAATGCGTTTGATAGCACTTAAAAACAATATTATTAATGAGTGCGCGTTAGGTGATAGCGGATTCGGTGGCGTATTGCCGTGATAATGATAATAACACCCGAGGAAAACCCACGAACTTGTTTGGCTGCTGCCGCCCCGCTAATCGTACGATCGTGGTCCGACATTCTTCTGATAACAAGTAATCCGAAGACGGGCGGTCCGGCTTTGACGTTTAGCTGATACCGTAGTCGCACGAACGACGAACGCGAAATTTGGCGGACAGCGCGGCAACAGCATAAACAGCGATCGGATCCGTTGCAACGGAATGTTATTACATTCGGACAATGCGGGCGAACGGCGGACACATTATACCACACTAGAAATAGGGTTGTTTTTTTGTTTTTTTTTTTTCTCGTCAGAGTAATGATACGATACGAAATATAACCCATTGGCGTATTATCGCCGCGTACGACGGCGATAAGCCCGTGTCAGCTGCTGATAAGAACGCGCGCCAGCCGCCGAGGATTGACGTGATCCGTGTGATACACGTGCGTGCGTGCCGCGCGTAATTCGTGTGTGTCGCACGACACGCGGACTCGGCGGCGCCACGACGGCCCCGCGGGTCGCGGTGGACGCGTAGACCCCGGCACACCCGCACGCCGTCACGCGCCGTCTGGTCCGTACGTCGTTGGCGGGCGGCTCCGACGGCGGTTATCGCGCGCGGACGAACAACCCAAATTAAAATGTGGTCCGTCGTTGTTATCGGGCCTACGATAACAAACGTTATGCGATCGGGTGTAGCGCGGGGCGTGGCGCACCGTAACAATAACGTCCGTCAATCACGGTACGCGATATACCCGCGTGTTTTAATCGTTGAACAGTACGGTATTGTAAACACCTCGGGTGATCTATTTAAGTGTGGGTACGCTCGTTAATCTCGGAGTTTATTAATTTTTCCCGGAATTTCGTTTTCCAGAACTGTTAAGACGACGTGTTACACCTGTAATTTTATCGTAAAAACATAGTTGTCGTGATAAGGAGATTTTTCGCTGTGACGTAGCGTTTTTATTTTTTAGCTGGTACAAAACGGTTTGAAAATATTAATTTTTAAAGTTTAGTAAATATTTCAAGATTTTTGTTTATTATTGAGATAGGTTATTGGCATATGGAAAACGCTACGTCACAATTTTTTCCTTATTAAAACAAAAAAAAAAAAAAATGGTCGATCTATCATAATTATTAAAAGAATGGTTTCGTTTCGAAAACTGTTTTTCCGTGTAAAAACATTGACAAATAATTATTTCGCAACGGCGGAGATACGGTGCGCGCGACGCCATCTCTCGTGCGTTGCACTCGAACAGCTTTGGGTATCACGTCCTCTTAAGAAACGAGCTGCTCTACAATGTTTTATTCGTGTTATTTTTGGTCGTCCTTGTTTTTGGGGGTGAACCCACTACGTACTTTTGATTTTCAAATGGCGACCTATATTGAAAATTAGTAGGATTAGTAAAAAATGAATTTTATTGTTGACATTTTTGAATTCCGTCAATCCGTTGACGAGATATTCCATTTTTAAGTTTGGATTGGAGGAGAGTAGTGGAGTATCGTTTGTGTATGACCGTGCGGCGCGCGGCGTGTTACCGATGTACCTCCCCCAAAAATGAGGGTAATAAAAAATACCATAATTATAAAATTGTAGAGCTGTTTTTGTTTCTCAAAATGTACTGGAGAACAAATTCCGAAAAAAGTTTATACTTTCCTACGCAATAAGTGTACCCGCTTAAATCGATCGCCCGGTACTCGTATAGTTCAATGGATTTCACATTATTCACGGTCAACGAGACCGAGGTGTTTCGCGGCCACACCACAGCAACATTGTTATCGTTACAATAATAATAATAATAATAATATTATGGTTCGCGGACACGGCGCGACGGGGGTATTATTATTATTGTTGTTGTTGTTGTTGTTGTGCGAACGCGACGCGCGACGTCAGAAATGACCGAGAGCCAATAATATTATTTTTATTGCGCGCCGCACCTACGCGCCTCCTGACCGCCGCACGCACCGTTAACAAGTTTATAAATATTACGCCGCGGTCCATTAAAATATTGGTAATTGATATTGAGCATTAGTCACTAACGATCAGCGTATTCGCCGGCGTTAAAATAATATTGCATTAGTGTACATTAAACATTTACAACAATCAATATTTATAAAAAAATAATCACATACGTATATTGTACACCGTTATAAAATATATGTACAAAATTAATCAAAACATTTACATTAAACCATTTTTTTCGCGGATTATACTTATTGGCTAATATTTATATGTATTGAAAAATCGAGAGAAAAATTAAAACACAGAATACTATCGCTGATTGCGTCATTATATAAAATATATGTATAGTTTATGAATACAAAATTAATTAAAACCATTATATTAAACTATTTGCCGTGGCTTATACTTATTAACTAATATTTTTATGAATTGAAACCTTGAGTTGCCCAATAAGTTACACAATAATTATCAATAATTCGTGAAATATCTACACAGGATTCTTGATTTTTGTCTTTCTTTTCTTTCAGTAATGTAAAAACTAAAGGTACAATGATTGTTTTTCATTACATCAATTGTGAAAACTTGGTAAAAAAAAACTTTGTACGGTACGAGAATGTTCCATAAACGTAAAATATGGTTGATGTACTAAGAAATTTTAAATTGTCATCAGTGCCAAATAATAAAATCCCCTTTTTCCGCATTATTTACCTGTAAAAATGTATTACCTTCAAACGTTTTGACGTTTTGATGTCTTTCGTAATATCATGCACCTCTTGTCTACTACGAGGTAAATTCGATCATAAAGATACTCGAGCTTGAAATATATTGTGTTTTATACCGTCATTCGTTAAGCAATGGTTTATCGTTGTTTCCAGATATGAATGAAATAACCTTAAGTATCCTACTTTCCCAACTTCTCGTCTATAACAGTGGCTGCTCTCATCCCCAGTATCAGCTCTTTTTCGTAATAATTTTAATGAGTGGCTATATAATGTCTAAAAATATTTTGTCAGAAAATTTAGTATCCGCAAAAAAATTCCAATAGAAACGTATTTTATCAAGTATTATAAAATACGAACAATATTTTATCAGAAAATATTTTACACGAAAATAAAACGATCAAAAATAAATAATTAGAAAATATTATAGAATAAACGTATTTTAGTCGAAAGTATTATTTTATCCTTAAGTTATAAAGTATTACATCGGAACCGCACTTTAGCCGAAAATATTCGTTATCTTATCATTCTTATTATAAAAACAAAAACTGTATAATATATACCTTAGAACTAAGATAAATAGGTATATATATAATGTCCATAGGAGTATAGACTGTGTACCTATGGTACAGTGCTCAGTTGGCCGAGAGAGCTTCCTCTGGTGGTGATCAAATACTGTGAAATATTTTTCGACCAAAATATTGTTTGGAAGAATTATTTTTTGTCAAAATACAGTTCGGATGAAATATTATTTTTCGGACAAACTGTTTTCGTCTGAATTATTTTTCGTATGCAATACGTTCGGACGATCAATTTTTCACCTAAAATACTGTTCGGATAAAATATTTTCGAATACCTTATGTGTTCCCATTTTAGTATTCTACTATTCGGGTTGGCGAACGTAGTAATTCCGCATCACTCTGATACTGACTCGAAAACTCCATTTTAATCTCGAGTGCAATTTCAATCGCATTTTATAACATTGGATAGAAAAAACGACAACAAACAATCACCACGCGTAAATGAAAAAATACTTCTGACGGTGTTACAATAAAATACAACGTTCAGTAATTTTCCGCACCACCTTAGCTAGGCAAACGACTATAATGTCATTATTGATTTACGTCATTCCAAAGTACTAGGTATTGCACGTGGCGTGCTTTTTTTTAACTGGTGTCCCCGAGTAGGCTTAATACACTGTCGCACAGCAAAATTAATTATTTTATTAGTTTACTTATTCGACATATGGATAGTCCTATGTGTATTATATATTATAGATGAATTATTGAGTACGTTCTCGGCGGTTGCATAATATTTAAAATAGAAACTATGTCTGTACATTGTATTATTGTCTTACGCTAGATTGATCACTATCTGTAGGTATAAAATATAATTTACATATTATATAGAACAAGTAATTGTAAATTGATAAAATATTATATGTTAGAAGCCAAGATACTAATCACTACTATAAAAAAAACTCCAGGCAAATTGCCGAAATTCATAATTAGGATAATGGGGACGGGTGCAGGTAATTTAATGTGCACCTGATGTGACATTGGTATATCTAATTAAAAATCGAAAATGACACCTAATTTGTTTATACCATGGCTGCCCAATTTATTTTGGAAGCGGGCTATAATTTCAATTACACCTATGTGGTGGACTATCTTATGAACTTTGTTACACTATTGTGATTCTTCTATACATTTGAATTAAATAAAATTTTAAAAATAAAATACCAAAATCTATAAAAGGATTATTAGTATATTTAAAATGGCAACTATTTCTATACATTTTATTATTAGTTATAAATAAAACAAAATTATTATTAAAAAAATAATATAAATTACGATAGTTGCATTTAGGATGCCTCTTATTAAGTTAATTATTGATTCAAAAATCAGAAGGGGGCACGTTGAATATGAAGTGTCCCTAAAAGATATATATACCGGGTTCTTTAATCGTTAAACATTCATTATTTCGAAAAGTATTGATTATTTTTGAAAACTTAAGGAACAAATAGTTTTAAAATTATATAAAATCATTTTTTTTTTTTTTTGTCACCCTTACTTTTATAAGTGAAACATCTATCTACTTTTAATTTTTAAATGGCAACCTATATTTAAAATACCTGAAATAGTCATAACCGGATACTTACCTACGAAGCTACGACAGTACAACCGAATACCAACAATATAATTAGATAGGTAATAATGATTAGGGCAGAGAACTTGTTGCTCTAAAAAATCAATAAATATGTAAGCTGGTTTTAAGGCCATTTAACCACCTAAAATTAAACGTGATACGTGAATTAAAATAACTATAAATTGGCGCGAAGTATCCTTTCATATTATAAAGAAACCACATTTAAAATCCACTTCGTACAGTGTAACCCCAACTTTATACATTTAAAATACATTCTAATATATTTTAGCACTTTAATTAAATATATGTAAAAATTGTTTAATAGTTTTTAATTTTAGGGGCGATCTGTCTTTGTCTTACACACGTGAGATATAGGGATTTAAACGTGTTTTAATTTTAACGTACCGATTGATCTAGTAAAGTGATAAGAATTCTGAAAACAGATTTAAATTTTTCGTAAAATCTACTTGAGATCGACTTTCCCACTTATAAAACAGTATACAGAATGTAAATTAAAAATTAATTAAAATTCAACAATTTTCGATGTATGAAATTCAAAAAACATGAATTTTTTGAAGTGAGTACAGTAAATATTATAAGCTTTATTACTGTTCTATTTTTTTCCAAGTTTCTAATTAATGTTAATGTATGGTGTGTTCATTTTTATTTTTTATTTGATAATTATTTATATTTAAAATTACTAAAAAAAACTAAAAATTATTACATTTATTTAATTGTAAATACATACCTATGTGTTTTATTTATGTTAACCTTATTTTGTATGAGTAAATACTTGAAATTTCTAAGTATGTTTTAAAGCTTAGAAAAATTAATTTTATTTATACACCGACCAAAATTAGTGTAGTTGCAGCACTGCTTCCACTACAATTTTTTTAAATTGTGTAAATAAAAAATGCAAATGCTACAAGCAGTTTGCTCTAATAATAATAATAGACATTTGCGTAAATGTGTAACCGAATAAATTATATTTTCTTATAAGGAGCAACTCACACTAACGTTTATTTATTACACACATGCTCACATCCAAACGATTCTAGTGCGACTGTGATAAATAGATCACTCTGTATAATATAATATTATATTCGTGATTCAAGATTATGTCGTCTCCTTGATATGTAGCGTCTGAGGCCAGACACATACGCAGGGAGGTGTTTTGGATGTTTAAACGCCCCCCCTCCGAAATATTTAATTTAACCTAACCTAATATTTTATATGTCTATTAAAAAAAGTTCTAATTTTCAATAACTGATTTTAAAAAACCCCCCCCCCCCCTAAAAAAATGTTCTGCGTACGTCCCTGTACGGGGCCAATACCCTCTGAAACCCCCTAAATAATTCACTGCATACAAACATAAGTTGTACGAAATGTTTTATTTTGGATGACAAAACTAGATATAATAATTCGAATTGGACGGGTTTTCGATTAAAATATACCTGCTATCTTCTGTCCATCAGATGGACCTTGTGATGCTCTTAGACTTTTAAATGCTAAATTGAATTTGTTAATATGTCTACTTGAGATAGGCAAAAATTTATTTAACCCAGTAGAAATGTTTAAACATTTTACTCGAGGTTCGTCGTAAGTTTTAGTTTGTAGTGAAAAAAATTAAGAGTAACGTAGTAGTTTTTATGTAAGTTTAAATTTTAACGAAATTCGTAAACAGAATTTCAAAACACGTTTAACCGAACGCCACTCAAAATCGTATTTCACTAACAATGATTTATCGTTATGTACAAAGTAGGTTAGTACAGATATACATTTTATAAATCTATTTACCTAACCTACATTCTGAACTTCACACCTACAACTGTAGCACACCCATTAGCAGTATCAGCTCCTTTTTACGTCGTCATAAACAACGTAAACAATATGAGGAAATTATTTGAAATACCTACTGTAAATACAGTAAAATAGAAATGCATTAAAATAAATGTTATGGCAAATAAATTGTAACAATAATATTACTATTTTCAAAAAAGAGCTGATATTGCTGTGGTTGTATCACTATCGTAGATGGGATACATCTGATCTTAAAATCAAAAAAGACACAAATTTAAGACTTTTAATGAATCATATGGCATAGAGACATAATTATTACTCTACACCTTTAAAGTTTAAATATCGATAACTATAAAAGTGATTGGATGCTATTAATAATGATATTTTAAGGACGGCGAATGGATGCGAGGACGATATTGGGACTGGGAATATCGAGAGGATGTTTAGGACAAGGACGGCCGATCCCAAATAGTTGAGATGAAAAGGACGAAGATAATACTCAAAAGTATTGTACATATTATCATAACTTCAAAGTGTAAAACTGTTTCTAATCGTCCAATTTCACAGTTACCCATTACAGCGGTGCAATGTTGACAGTAATGTTTTCGAAATGAAAATGGAAATAGGCAGTTGGTGGCATGTGACAATGAGAGTGACGATATTTGCGAGATATATGAGAAGAGGGGGGTAGGTATGCTGGTCAATGTTCCAAAATCAATTCAATGCTCGGCAACATTATTTTAGAGACTGGATTTTTGCATATTCTCTTATAATCCGCAAAAAAACGCTTTATAAAACATCAACAATCTCTGAAAAAAGCATTTACAAACATCTAAAAAAAGCAAAAACGATAGAGAAGTTTAAAAGCCCCTCCCACTAACAGCTCTAAATTATTAAATTAAATTTCCTAACACTAAAAAATTGATTCATACAAAATAATTTCTTTTTTAATAAAAATTACTTTTATTAATCATTTTTGTTTTCATTTTTAGAAAATTGTATTTATAAACTAAATCCTTTAGAAGGGGGATTATCAAATCCTTATATTATTTTTGCGTTTTTGCATATTTTTTAAGTGATATTTTTCAAGACTTTTTGACGTTTTTAATTGTTTTATTGTGGATTTTAAGAACATATAAACTCCGTCTCTATTAATAACAGAATATAATTTTCTTAATAGAATAACTAGAGGTCGGATTTGTATGGTTTTAAATATTTGTTTCTAGTCTATGCACTTAAATGAATGTTAGGCGGATCACACATAGGGGAAATTAGTTTCGTTAATTAAAAGCGCGTGTATTTAAATGGAGCAACACGCTAGCCCGAATTGCCGGGTAGTCGGGTGGACCAGACTGACACTACTGTATCTTATATTATATTATTATGTAAATAATAATAGTTCTTGAAAATTATCCTTATCCCCTCTCCCAGTCTCATAACAAAGTCATTTGACCGTCACTGTTAATAATAAATAATACAATGTCGCAAGATTAAAAACCATATCGAATATTTTTAAGCGGATAGGTAATACGTACATCAGCAATAATATTACAGTAGAAATATGCAACGGGTACAGTACACGTATAATAATGACCTTTTCACGAATAACAGGTGAAAAATGACTAACGATAGACGGCTATAATGCAATCCGTAGTTTATTTCGATTAACAATAATTCACAATAGGCATACCTAAAGCTTGCAACAATAATTGCAGTAATAAATAATAAAGGTCGAGCAATAGACACTTAATATACCTTTACGTATAGTCGTATAGATATACTAAATCCTTTAGTATTTATCTAAATATTGCCAAGCAACCTAAAAAAAATAATAATGATCAACATTTCGAGTGCTCTAACGATAAAAAGAATAATTGGTAATAGTCCATTGATATTCAGCATATTCATTTTTACTATTTTTTTTTTCTGAATGGTACATTTTGTGAAAACTTTTTCGTGGTTTCCATTAGGTAGGTAGTAGGTATTTTATCTAGAAAAAGTAATCTAGGTTTTTACTAAAATATTATAAACATTACATATTGTAGTCTATACCAGCGGTTCTGAACCTTTATGGGTC